AAAGGGTTAGGCTGAAACTGAAGAACGCTGTATCTTCGAACCCTTTGAGGTACAAACGAAAACAAAAGTGGTACAAACGAATACAAACGATTCTCTTTCGAATGCCGTTGGCCGTTTCTCCGATATCTTGTAAAATGGCTAAGTTCCCTATAGAAGGGTTAGGCTGAAACTGAAGAACGCTGTATCTCCGAACCTTTTAAGGTACAAACGAAAACAAAAGTGGTACAAACGAATACAAACGATTCTCTTTCGAATGCCGTTGGTCGTTTCTCGATATCTTGTAAAATGGCTAAGTTCCCTATAGAAGGGGTAGGCTGAAACTGAAAAACGCTGTAATCTTCGAACCCTTTGAGGTACAAACGAAAACAAAAGAGGTACAAACGGGTACAAACGATTCTCTTTCGAATGCCGTTGGCCGTTTCTCGATATCTTGTAAAATGGCTAAGTTCCCTATAGAAGGGTTAGGCTGAAACTGAAAAACGCTGTATCTTCGAACCCTTTGAGGTACAAACAAAATCAAAAGAGGTACAAACGGGTACAAACGATTCTCTTTCGAATGGCATAAACGAAATTTAAAAATCTTGTAATCGGGCGCTGGCCATTTTTTCACCCCCTTGTATTTTTTTACCCTTTGAGGTACAAACGAAATAAGAAGCGGTACAAACAGGTACAAATGAAGTACAAACGAACTAGATTAGTGATTTTTTTTTTAAATAAAGTTGGGCGCCAAGTTCACATCGGTGCCTATTTCTTATATAAAACGCTCGTGAGCCAGAGCTATCGGCGGCTCGGCCGCCAGCGGCCGGGCAGTAATGAGGGAACAGAAGGCGTTGTCTCGGGAATCGGCCCGAAATGTGCAACTAGCGCTGATGTAAATTATGAATAAGAAATTGTTATAATGTAACTTATATTTAAAAATCAGTACATTTTGTATAATGATACCATGAATATTGTACATACATATACAATACAATCATAATATTTTACAGTAATGATTGTTTCTTTTTTCCTTGAAATATTTTTTTTGTTTTTATATTACTATATTATGATATATTACTTATTATGATCGTTGTTATGATTCGTTGATAGAAAAGTGACACATCTCAAAATAAGCAACTTTTCAGTAGAGCATTTTTAAAATTCTAAATTGGAACAACGTTTTTATTAAATAATAAACATGCATAACTTTATTTTCTTTCTACGTTATACTTTCATTTATAATGTTGTAACGGTGCGTATTTTTACGCCTCACGGGCGGTGCGTAATGATGCGGAATTTCGACGGTATGCGGATTTTTCGATGCGGAATTACGACGGTGCGTAGTTAGCGAAGCGGATTCTTACGACGCGGAATAACTCGTCGGTTTGCCAGAATTCGTTCGTGTGGTTTATCGGGA